TATATATTTATTTTTGTTGCTGAGGATTGAATTTAGGGACACTTGACCACTAAGCCACATCCATAGCCCAATTTTGTATTTTATCTATAGATAGGCAGGGTCTCACTGAGTTGATGATGCTGGCTTCAGTGATCTTCATGCCTCAGCCTCCAAAGCCGCTAGGATTATGGCCCTGCACCACCGTGCCTGGTGAAAGGTGCAATATTTTGGTTCATCCAAATCTCCTTATCTAGCTTTTTCTCTCATGGGATTTAGACATGTCAAAACAATATTTTCTAAGATAACATCCAAAATTCCTCTAGATTTAGAGCTTTTATAAAATTTGGAAAAGCACAATAATCATTAATGAAAACTCTCTGTATTGCAGGTGATGCAACTGTCACCATAGCTCACAGATACACTCCCAGAGAACAACTGAAGATCCACACTCAGCTGGCAGATATTATCATAGTAGCTGCAGGTAAGTCTCTAGTGACTTATTTGGTAGAATGTCATCAGCAGAGTAATTCCTGCTCTAATTGCAGCACATAGCCAATCCCAAAAAAACAAATGCCGAATGTTTTCTCTGATATAAGGAGGCTGATTCATAGTGGGGTAGGGAGCAGGAGCATGGGAGAAATAGACAAACTCTAGATAGGGCAGAGGGGTGGGAGGATAAGGGAGGAGGGAGGGGGTTAGCAAGGATGGTGGAATGTGATAGACATCATTAGCCAAAGTATGTATGTGAAGACACAAATTGGTGTGAACATACTTTATATACAACCAGAGATATGAAAACTTGTTCTCCATATGTGTAATGCATTCTGCTACCATTTATTTTTTTAAAAAATCAATTATAAATTAAAATAAAATAGAATGAGGCTTCAAAAAATAAGCAATAATGACAATAAAAACAAAAACAAAAGAACAAAATCAGTGAAGATCAGTAATGTATTGTGGCTGAGGGGAAAAGTGAAAGAAAACTGTACTTTCAAGTTTGTCAATGAAAATAGAAGGTCCAGGTATGAGGAAAAGATAGACAACCACTATACTGCAATGGCCATATACACACTGAAGAACTCTTTTGCCATCTAAGACTTTAAAGGGGAAGTTGATGGACTAGACCATGTTCAAAAGAGCATCTGGATGTTGTTTCCACAAAGAATGGCCTAGGAAACTTGGTCCAATGAACTGTGAATGTTTGGTCTGGAAGAAAGAAAATATGACTTAGATACAGAGTTTTTGTTTTTTAAATATATAGGATAAAAGACCCAAACACAAACCTTAATTATAATAAGAGCTGCTTTAAGTTGCCATTCTTGATATAGTGAATTTCCTCTCATTCCATTGATCAGGTAGACAAATAATATAAATATGATATCATAGAGAATTATTTGCTAGTGTTTTTTTAAATAAACTTTTGTCCCATTTTGAATGTAAAGAGTATTCTATCCCTTTTTAAACATTAAATTTTAATAGATCAAATACCATAGCTAAAATCACACATGAACAGCTGTAATTATTATGAACATATGTTCTCTGGGAGAGGTATTACATTCACTCTTTACTCTTTACCTATGAAGGGACCATTGTCAAGAATGTCCATGAATTGTGTGTGGGGTTGTGCTAAGAATTTTAATGTTTTTTCCAATTCTAAGATTCTGTTATTTTATATTTGTGTATAAAATTTATGAAATATAATGTGTTTATGTATATTTCTTTATCACAAAAATGTTTAAATTTTTGTTATTCTACAGGGTAAATTAGCAAGAAAGATATTTTGAAATTTAGAAAGGACTATAGTATATAGGTCTTATGTGTGACTAAGTCAACTATAACTCTTTAGAGATATTGTATTTTTCTAATTTTATTAAACATAAATACTTTTGAATAGCAAAGGGAGTGTTAAATTCATTCATTCATTCAGTAAACAATGAACACTTGCTATGAAGTAGTTTTTATAAATTGTAGAGATGCAGAAATGTATACAAATGACAAAATCCCAGCCCTTGCAGAGCTTTTATGTTAGTGTGAGAGCAAATAAACAAACAATACAATATAATATCAGGTAGTGAGAAGTACAATAACAAATTGACAAGGCTGTGTAAAGGAGAATTGATTCCTGAGAGGCAAGCATAGAAACAGAAAAGTTATTGCAATTTTACTTAATGGATCTAGAAATTTCCCTAATATGTTTTATATTTGAATATACCGAATGATTATACTCTTATTCTATCTTTGCCCTTGCCATGTAGTATTTCTGCATTGAAGATGATAGTTATAATTTTTGCTTCAGCCAAGGCTTGAAGGATTGCTTTAATGGGGTACCATTTTAGGTTGATTAATTAGTGAAGATCTTTCTTAGGAGATGATCTTTTGAATAGAGCCCTTGTCCTGGCCTTTCTCCATTTGCCTATCTGATCCAATTTTTCCCTTTCCCTACTTTGGCCCCAGGAGGCTGACTAATGAGGACTAATGTGTTTCTCAGCCACTGGCTCCTGGCAAGGCTTGGAACCTTTCAGAGATTCAAGGGAGGAGAAAAAGATCAGGCCAGGAAATGTTTCTCTCTTGTATTTCTACCTGCTTTCTAACACTCCCCCCATGTCCTGCTGGGGAACCTCTGGAAGGGGTTGTGGCTCTCAGTGGGCTGCAATAAATCAGTTCCTTCCAGCTGCCCTTTCAGGCTTAGGGATGGTAAAGGCTTCCTCCTGTTTCTAATCTACAAGTGCCTTGACAGCTCATTTTTCTCTTAATACTGAACATACCCCCTGTAAAATTCCTTTAGTAATTTCTCTCCATATAATGGTCTAAGGAGTAATCCATGTCCTGCAGGGACACTGACTGATACAGATTTATAGGAGATGAAGAAATGAATCAAAGAAACATCTGGGAGAACATTCCTACCAGGGGAAGAACACATACAAGAGTCTTTAAAGAGTAGCATGCTTAGCATGTTCCAGAACACAGATATTTGAGAGTTGGTCACATTATTCTGATTTTTATTAAGCTAGTAAGTTATGAGAGAGACTCATAGGAAAGTAGCCAAGGTTTGTTCATGTGGGACCTTGAGGGCCAAGGTGAAGACTTTGATAGAAGCCAAGAGTGACAGAGAGTAGGAGATGAACAACTTGTGTTTTTAAAGGTCACCTAGGCTATGTAAAGGAGAATTGATACCCTAGAGGCAAGCATAGAAACAGAAAAGTTATTGCAATTTTACTTAATGGATCTAGAAATTTCCCTAATATGTTTTATATTTGAACATACCAAATGATTATACTCTTCTTCTGTCTTTACCCTTGCCATGTAATATTTCTGCATTGAAGATGATAGTTATAATTTTTGTTTTAGCCAAGGCTTGAAGGAGAGCTTTAATCACTTTGCTGCTGATCAGATACTGTTAATTTCTAGACTTTAAATTTGAATTGATGATTATTTACAAACTATGAAGGGAGAGTAAAAGTTCTGGAATGAATTAAGTTTGATGAAGAGAATAAATGTTTAAATTAGTTTCAACTGAATTTAATTTATTTTAGTATTCTTAAGTATGTCTTTTTCTGGAACCCAAAGGGAGGGAAGAATTGAGCTTGCCAAATGAACAAAAAGAGCCAGAAGGATTAGGGGCCCCGGGGTATAACCAGGTTGAGGTTCTCTGCTTTGACCAGCCTACTGTGGGTCTTCTCTTACCACCAGAGGGCTCTAGTACAGTGAGGAGCTGTTTTGAATGTAGCTGGGTTGGCCACACCACAGCCTGCCTGATCCTGCCCAGAAGATATTTTGAGGGAAGACAGTGGGATCAAGGCCTCTTCTTAGCCTTGTTTTCCACCTTTAATGCCTCTCACTAGATGCAAAGATGTGCTGAATGTTGGAGTACAGCTCTGTAAGCAGCCTTGCAATAATCCTAAAGAAAAAAGGTTTGGTTAATGGGAAATTTTAGGACAGAAAATTATTAGAAATAACTAAAGATCACTAGATTTCCACTTCATTAATAATCAATCATCTTGAGAATTTAAGAATAAAACATATAGGAATTAGTAAATTAAAGTGAAATTACAGAGAAAACATGAATTGGTGTGAAAAACAGATTCCACATAACCAGACAATCGGAATAAAGTATCACCAAAATGACCACGTCATGCTTATGTGTGGGAAATGAACAAATACAATTAGCAGCAGGTATTAAAGAGGGAGATAGTGATCTAATGGCAGAGGTAGCTGGAACAGGGAGGGCTGGACCACTGTCATAACTGGAATGTCAGCATATATGGAAGCAGTCCCATCTAGGAGAAGTCAGGAAGAGTAGAAGGAGGAGGAGTGCATGATGTGTCAAAAAGATTGATAATGTTTGAGAGATGATGGTGAAGAATGTGGTGATGAAATCTTGAATTGGGCTTGGAGAAGAACAAAGTAAAAGAAGAAATCATAGCAAGAAGATCCTGAGGCATGAATAATATTAGCTTATATTAATATTAATCTCACTCGTCCAGTTTCTCATAGATCACAGTTTTTTTTTAAAAAAATGGAACCATTATTCTAGTTATTTGTTGATCTATATAGTGTAGCATTATTTTCAGGAACTACTAAACATTCCTAGTTTGTCATTATAAAATAGTTAATAAAATCGTAAAAGTACAATATTTGTTCATAAAAGAGTAGTCAGAGCATCAAGTGCATAACTGACTTTATGCTAAGAATAAGGGTGAAGAAAGAGTAAAGACTATTTCAGACAGTTAACCACATGGCTGAACGAAAACTAGTAGCTGGGGGAAGGTCATATGAGCTTAGTATGAAGCTAACCATAAGAAGGGAAGGCTAGCTAGAGCAGGGCATCAATTCTAAGATTGCGCTAGAAGATCCTGAGCTATCTTATATCTCATGCTTCAAGGGAACTTGGGAATATCCCAAGTTTGTAAAAGTTCTTACAATGTATGTACATTATCCAGGCAGGAGAAGCAAATTTTTTACAGATATTGTCCAAAAGGACCTCCATGCATTTGAGTCAATTCTCTGGAACTAACTTCATTCAGGAGACGATCTGCTGAGTCAGTGCCACTTGCATGTTAACTTCTAGACGTGGATTGGCATGGTCACAAAAGCTGGCATTTTGTCCACTAAGCTATCCCCTCCAGCATGATGAATGAACTTCCACAGTTGTAACTCTAGCGTCTCCATTGCAACACTGTTAATGACAGACACTGTAATATAAAACAAGGTAAATGGGCAATTCAGTGGAGTAATTTGGAATATTCATACTTACTAGTAAAAAAATGCAAAGTGACCAGCTAGCTTCCTTTCACCTATTTTCCCACTGTATCATCAAGTATTGAATACACACCCATTAAACATCATCCTAAATTTTTGAAAGAATTTTCCTCTTGTGGATTTACTCCTCCTTGGAGAAGGATTAATAATGTTCAGAATTCCAGGACACTGAGGGATGCTGAGGGGTGGGGCATGGAAATAGTCTGCTTCGCCCTCTGGAGC